CGATCTGATTTAGATGTTCTAAAAGTTTGTGATGATGGTAAATTGTTACAATTAATATGTTGCTGGACATTATCCATCATCTTGTATGTTCTTAAAAACCGTCTAGTTTCTATTAAAAACACAACGTTTCGGAAACTGGAATCTGTCCCCGTCTTCAGGTAAAACCTACTCAGTTGGGTCCAATAGACAGAGCTAGCCCCTATCTCCGGACCCGGAGATAGGGGCTAGCTATAAAATTTCGTTTCATGTCAAGTGGGCCCCTTGCCACAACATCATGAGGCGTCCAGCGTTGCGAACGAAGCATTGCATAATTCATAATAATCATCATCAGTGACTTTACAGTCCTCTGTTGGGCCCTGACCTCTTCTTTAGCTTCGTAAACCTTTTACACAGATTGTAGGACTCCTTGGGCGAGTGATGAGCCCTTCACAAGGCCGCTACCTACACATAGAACAGCACAAACAGAATAAATGCACACACACACATCCATGTCGTGAGTGCAATTCGAACCCACGATCCAAGCGTTCGAGTGAGCGAAGTCAGTTGATGCCCGAGACCGCGCGGTCACTGTGACTGGTAGCATTGCATAATAGTTCAATTACATTCAGAATAATCCATAAAATATTATATTAATGGAAATATGTATGCATGATATGTCTTTTGAACTCATGTAGGTAAATCAAATGCTGGATGCATTTAGAATTCACAATGTGCCGAACCAGGAATTCTATATCTCAGTCTAGAATACGAATATATTATCAGTGATGTCAAAGAAAATCAAGAATACCTTCAACTGAATCATCTAAATCGCAGAATCTATTTCCATGTGTTAATTACATTCATGTGTCGGGTGATGACACAGGCCTACATCAATGATTAATGCAAATATGGTCCGGCAGCATGGCAAGAAAGAAGTATAAGTCTAGAAGTAAATACAAAAAAAAGTAAATATGTGCTAATGATAGGAGCGGGCACAGCGTAGTCGGTATAGCGACTGGTTACGGGCTGGACGACGAGGCGTCTCAGATCGAGTCCCAGTAAGGTGAAGAATATTCTCTTCTCTACGTTTTCCAGACAGACTTTGGGCCCACCCAGCCTCCTGTTCAATGGGTACTTAGGGCTCTTCCCCCGGGTATAAAGCGGCAAAGGCGTGAGCCCGATTACTCGCCTCCAGCTAGAGTCGAGGTCAAGAAAATGTGGATCTACGTATAAATTCACTCCTCCCTACGCCTTCATGGCGTAGAGCTTAATTAAGCACAGGTATCAATTTTACCCTTTTGATATGTTAATCATACGAAGTAAAATTTTGTAACAAAGTCAGGTTACATCAATAAACAGTATGCCCACACTTTATCTAGGAAAAAAATAATATATGTCACAAAGAAACAGTAAAAAATATTTATAAAATGGCATCTGTGTATTTATCAAAAATATGTTATAATCTACTCTGTTTTCCAAAATACTGAGGCTCCGGATGTGCATATACGAAAGAATTTTTTTTCTGTGGAACTTTGTGCTTTTCAGGACAGACCAAGCTCTTAGGGAAATGCTTGGGCGGAAGAGGGATGAATTAAGAGAATGAAAAGTAACAGAAAGTCTGAAATATGCGAACTCTAATTCACTGGTTATTATTAGACAAGAAGATGTTCAAGAGATCAGTGAAATAGGGCAAATGAAAAGAAAACATTAAAGTTTCATATTCTGGTTAGAATTTTCAAATTACTTCCTTTTAGCCAACTTTCCTTATTCTGTAAATGTAAAAGTATGCTTAGAGATCATCTTCCTGACTGTGCGCGTGTGTCTATGTATGACCCCTTCTCCTTTAACTCTTGAATGTCTGAACTAGTCTTTGTTAAACTTGGTATGTATTTCATGGCACCTAACACCATTCACAAATCCCTCCCATTAGTAATACTAACATTTTAATCTCTCACATTTCTGAGGCAAAATCTTAGTATTCCTTGGACGCCTGCAATGTCTTCATGAAACCTGGTATGTATCTTTTCACGTATAGGGGGGTATGCGGGATTTATATTGCTGGTTCTAGATTTGGTGACTGGATTTATAGGGCGTCACTATTACAATTATACTCGATTATAACAATTTACAAATTTAACTCCTTCTGGATAACGAAACTCTCAATGTTGTCTGGATCTTGTATATATTGTCACGTATTGGGTGTATAACGCGACAAATAACTTCACGCCGTATTTGATATAGCGAATTTTATTTCACATTCGCACTTACAATCACCCCAATTACAGATTCACAATTACTGCTATCTGCAGTATCACAAATACTACATTGCAATTGCCAGAATACAACTGACTGGTTGCTGGCTAACTCGGAACTAACTCGGAACTAACTCGGAGGTAACTCGAGGACTAACTGTGAATAGCCTTCGCTGCTCCTTATGTAGCCGCGTTCGGACAATACAGAAAACGGCCACGTAATAAGCACCACTGTTGTCTGGTGCCGTCGTGCTAGTAACAATGTGTACCGCTGTTACTAACATCGTCTCTCGCAACCACTGTTTACCCGCGCTGCCTAGCAACCGCGGTACCCCTTGGTGACGTCACCGCTATTGACTCGCGTTGCATAGCTACCAGGATGCTGGGACTCGACTAACTTCGGCTCCGCTCGGCTCACTTCGGCTGGCGGGGGGTGGGGGGAGGAGCGTCATCCATAGCTCAACATGTCACAATATATTCTTCTGATGGTGAATCCTCTCCCTGATGTAAGTTTTTGTAGAACCTTATGGACATCACCCCCTTCAGCAGTAGAGTTATCGTGTTCTTCGCTGTTACTGTGCTTGGGAGGTTCGTTGACGTGTGAACGGAAACGTTTCTGTATGCGTTGCCTAGGGATCGACGTGACCCTGCATGCAATGCATTGCTTCTTCGGTCGTTTTCTTTGCTGTGGAAACGTGTTTCAAAAATTAGTTACCTAGTAATGGATTCACATGTCACAATATCATACCACATGAAACCATCGTAACGTCGTACTCCATAAATCCCTCCGGCGAGTAGCACCAACAGTACAGCAATCCAAATTGCCGCGGTAATAACCGTGAAGTTATTAAATAAATGAACTGTAACAGGAGAAAACGTCTGGCTTCATATTCTGCACGTTTCACATTTTAGATTAACTTCATCAAGGTGGTTGCAGCCGATATATTGTTTACTTGATTGCACAAAATATTTTGGCAGAAAAATCAAGTGATGTGGCATTAATGTTAATCATGTCAGCCTACCTGAAACTTTGGAAAGGAAGTGCCATTGTGTTGATACTTGTGTGCTCCAGTGGTACGACACATGCTGGCAGAACGCACCCTCAGCCCGTCACAGGCTTGTCAGCCAATCGCGTTCAACGTATGCTGAATTGAGGGATGGAAAGAGTGCAAGCTACTCCAAGCTATAGAAAGCTATTATGACAGTCAAGGACGTCAAGCAGAGCTGCCAATGCACATCACATGCATGGAGCATGCAGAGCACGCAAGTAAGCCAAAAGAAGAAAAGGGGGACGGACGGAGAAACGCGCATTTCTGCTCCATATATGACATTCTTCAAGATTTTGATTTCAGCTTTATTTGACAGTAGTTTCAGGTGTAACACTCCAAGACAACAAACTCTGACAATTTGTGAACCAGAAGTGACGGCGTCTCTTAATGCTCCACAAAAATTGAAATTTATAATACCCTAACGGGGGGACTGCAAGAATTTTGAAAAAAGATTTGTTCAGGAAATTAAGCCTTCTCACAGTCAGATAAACAACATTCAGATTCTCCGACTTACAGAAAGCGACCGAAAAAATTTTATCGCAGGTTTTGCTGTGAAGTAACAGAATCCATAGAAGCACATTTGATCAACTGATTCTTTGAAATTCTCGTACTGAAGTTTGTCTGACTATTAGATTTCGGACACAAAATATATTACTGAAACTTTCCAGTCGCTGAGTATGAATCGTTATTTAAATCACTGAGACGGTATTTTAATCCTCTTCTACAGAAATATGAACTATCGTCTGTTTTTTCGAAATAAATTCCACAAAATAACATTACGAACCTGTTTCAATCTTCTGTCGTCTAAAATCTGAGTACAGCATTACCAAAAGTCACAATATTATTTGCGTTATCATTAAACGCTCCAGAAACTAGTGCGTCTGTCAAGCGGTCATTCTTTGTTTTGAAAATGGTTCATTGGATGGCTGAATGGATTGAGTCTTATACACAGGACTCTTAAGTACAAGTAATCACGGCGCTACAATTCACAAATCACCACAGCACTCGCTAAGCTATTTATAAACTGCTACATATGTCTTCAACTGTTCCCTGGCAACGGCTTTTAACAGCGTGGATTCTTCAGCTTCACTTCCTCAGGTCCTCTCTGCACAACCCCCGCACAGAACTAAACTGATCCCTTTCTTAAGGTATCTCAACACGGACCACGTAGAAACACCCTGTTTCCATTGTTTTAGTCCAAGTGTTGCATTATTAAGAATCTGCTTCCTAGCAACGGGAACATATTTACCGAGACGTTGCCCAGAAACGGTCGATGTTTACAGAGTCACCGCTCAGCAACTTGTGTATACGCCACAATATAGGCTCAGCAGAGACCCACTAAATTATCTTTAATTAAGTTTGAGAAGTACACATTTCATAATTCGGAAAACTTTACGAATTCTGTGACTCTGTGACAGATAATTTTACTGAATAAAACCGTTGCATGGAAAAAAGTATGAAGTGAAATAAAGGAAAAATAAGCTCGGTAGTCGCTCCCTCCTGTTTAATTCTTTATCTTAACTAATGTTTAAATCATATTTGCTTAGGTTTCCTCAACGAAGTATATGGTCAATTATAATTACTGGATAATAATAATAATTGGATATGGTTTTTAATCAACAATAGGATACCAGATTTCATGCTGAAGAGAAATTTCACGCAAATTTAAACTAAAAATATGAGTTTTGCAAAAAAAATTGACACGATGGATTTTTTTTACTATTTTTTTTCGGTTTTAGTGATTGAAAATCTATAAGAAACAGTAAAAATATTCTATGCAGTTTTTTGGTTTCAGACCTGTGTTATCAAAGACTTGAAGACCTCCTGTGTTGAGATTTGGGCAACACTTTCGGAAAAATCATGCTCCGCCACTGGGGAAAAATGAAGGCAGGGAATTTGTATGTTGAGGCCATAGTTGGGAAGAGAGAGTGCAGACAAATACTCACCATTGATCCATAATAGACTGCATTAGTTCAAGACGGGCTCCAATGGCATTCCTTTTTAGTGATGATGACAATTCATTTTCCATATTAAGAGAAATGTAGTAATGAATTTTTTGTGAAAAATATTGCCTCACTCTTTGATAAAATTCCTCCTTCTCTTGATGTAATTCCCACCATCCAAGGCACGAGTTCCAGGTCATCACTGAGAGGAATCTTCATCGGAAAATCATTGATAAATACTTCATCTCCCTCGCCCACCTGGGTCTCAATAACAGGAATGAACGCCATAGGGGAAATTGTCGAAGACTGAAAAGAAAAGAGGGTTATCAGCATCTGATTAACAAGACGTCAGTCATAATCAATATTCATACCTGAATGTCGCCCGGCTACCCATGGTTAACGCAGCTCCAGGAAAGCTCATTGGATATTAATGGAGGCGTGCGGTTAACCCCACGCTTCGGCTATCTTTACTACAGCGATAATACACGTACATCAGGAACCAGTGCTAATCACTTAGGAATTTCTCTGAGTACCAGAGAATTCTGAACATATCTCTGTAAAGGAAAATTCGAAACCTAGAGCTGGGAATTAGTCTTGGTCCTCGAGTACTAATTTCTTAGTATTATGATTCTTTTAAAGTATTTCTTACAAATATTTTTCTGCATATTACTGAAGTGGAGTATATCTCCTGTGTAACCGCACCATTGAAATCCTTCCCCCCTCTTCTTATTTCAGTAGCTTATAAAGTAGACAATATGAATTACGAAGAAACATAGGTATAAGACACACAGTCAGAACAAGCAGTAGGCCATGAGCAGATAGACCGAACTTGCGAGGACAAGGACTTCTGCTAGTCCTTGCGTCCAAGCAGCTGGTGTTGTTTTCGAAAAGGGAACAAATGATACTTCCAGGAACCCCACTGAGTTTCTTTAGAAATTGAGAAGTTGACTTACAGCGGCAAGCCACTTTGAGAATTCGAGAAGTGACAGTCACTACCAGCAGTAAGTTAAAAGTGGGAGTGCCAGGAGATCATTAGCGACCCCTCATAAGTTGCATCGCTGTCAATTTCGCCGTTTGGTATTTTAGGCCGAAACTCCCTCTAAAGCAATCGGTCATTGGCAGGAACCAAAATTAAGCTAACTCCTTTTATTTGAATCAGCCTATCCGGGAAATTAGGAGGAGGAGAGAAGAGGCGGATACAATTCAGTTAGGACCTCTGGCTCGGCAGAGAGTCCAGTTTAAGATTAGGAGTCTGCTACAAACTTTCGAATTTGGCGGAGGCAAACCCCGCGCTTATACTTGCTTGTTAAGTTAAATAATTCTTAGAAGTGCAAAATTTGACCATTACATAAAAGAGATATAGCTTAATCCATAGCGGACGGTGGTAAGTCGGCCTGATCGGGTAATTTGAGCAAGTGCAACACCGGCTGCTTGGAAGCCGAAACTAGGCCTGATTGTGTGGATTTATACCTCCAAATGACTGTAAGAAAACAATAAAGTGTTCTAATGGTACAGTGCATTGTGTTGGTTAGAAGTGTTTCACCCTCACTTGTCCGAGTCTGACCCTTAGCCGACCTGAGTAGAGACTCATCGCCAGGAGCTAGTCAAACCCATCGCCAGCTTCCACTCACTCACGCCTTCCCTCCTTTACAATGAATCGCAAATCGCACCTAGCTGTTTGCTGGCGCCCATAACATCAGGTCCTATCCTGAAATTCCAACCCCCCGTAATCAGCAAAGGAAGGAGGAAGCGGTGGAGCTGGAAGAAGCGGTGGAGCCTGGTCAAGCCGGAACCAGCCACGCCCCAACAACTTCAACAGAGGCAGAACCAGGTAGGCCAGTCAAAGTGACGCCGAACGTAAGGTGAACAAGACGAACGGTAAGAAAAGGTGGCAACCAACTTGTGAGCAGGAAGCCTCAAGGGAGGGCGGTTAAACTTGTGCACCATCACGGTTTTCCGCTGGCTACTGTGACAGCCAGGACAATAAGTTAATTATTTTAAGGAACATTTAACATGATGATTGTAGTTTAGCATCAGTGCTTTATATGTTCAAGATGACCTCCATGACGTTCGATATATTGCCTTCATTGCTGTCTGCATTTCTGCACAACTAGCCTCAATAAAGCATTATCAACTCTTCCAGTTCCCTCCGTATTGCGGTCCTTCAGTTTTCGGGTGAATTGGAGGTGAGCAGCGCGCAGTTAGACTGTCAAGTTCGGAGAACGTGATTGCCAAGGAGTCTCAAAGTCGTGAAATTAAGTGGGCTGAACACATTCCTCTAAGAAGATTCATGCTTTACCTTGCCATGTAGACCGTTGCGCAACACTGTTTAAATCCTACATTTCTCACACTTTGCCTTATCCTTCGCAGCCAAAATATGGTTGCAGCACAGTGCAGTAGCGTTCAGGATTCACGGTAGCGGTTTGGTTCGACTCACCCAAGGAAATGAGGCCCGATCACAGCAAAAGCAAGAAGAACACCTGAGACAGTTACTTGTCACCGTGGAGGGGTTTCTCGCGGATCTGCTACGATTATCATCGCTCCAATTCCTGAAATTCTGTTTGTTTATGTAACAGGACAGTGGGCCTTCTCTGGCATGATCAGAGTATCCAAAACCTCTTCGTCATTATCCACAAGGCTCATAAACAACAACAACAACAACAACAAAACTCCGTGATTTTAGTCCGCAAGCGAACTATACCGACTATGTGACTGCCGCTTGTCGGCGAATTTTAGTGCCAACTTTAGCAGATAGAGGGTGTCGCGTGGTCAGCGTAACGAATCCCCACTGCCGTTAATTTCGTTTTTCTAGACCGGAGCCGCTATTCCTTGAAATAGCTCCTCAATTATCATCACGAGGCTCAGTGGACCATTTTCCAGACCCACTGCTTCTCAGAAAAAATCTGGCAGAGCCGGGAATCGAACCAGGACCTCTGGCTCTGTAGCCAGTAACTCTGACCACTAGACCACAGAGGCGGTCCCAAATCCCATAAATTGTCTAAAAATATTCACACGGTAATGTTTATGTTGTTCTTTCAGTTAGTGAGTCATGTGGGTTCTGTAAGGACGAAGCCTAAAGTCTTCATACAAACTTATTGGAAAGAACTTTCTTGTCTTCTGTAAGGCGACCGCATACCGCGCCTTCGTGTTTATTACATTACTGCCCTCAGTCACTCAACACTTTTTGCATGAGAACGAAGCGTGCAGGGACAACACACTCACTCACTCACTACACTGCCATCAACATTTAAATATTCAACCCGCTTCAAATTGTCGTTCAGCTACTGAATTCTCGATCGTCAGATTCACGCTGATAACGACTTTGCGACTGCACACTACACACTACATGAAATGATCCAGTATTTGATCTATTAATAAAATCTTTATTTCAATTATAATATTAGAAACTGACATATAAGAAGAAAAGGAATTGCATGGAGATCAATCCTCTGCGAATCAAGTGTTCAGTAAGACCATCATTGCCTCTGGCAACTTCTTCAACAAGAACTGTGATGTTGATGATTACTCGACGGCACATATCCTCAGTTATGCAGGCCCGAATGATTAGTGCTCTCAATTCAATTACTGTTTGCGATTTTTTGGGAAAATTTTTCCTTAAAGAAACATCGAAGAAATCAGGACTATTCGGTAGTCAGTTCTGTCCACATGCGAAACGATCACGAAATCGGTTTCAGATGACAGACGAGTCGAAATTGTCATGCAGATAATCCAAAACATCCTCTGTCTGCGTCCTGTCTCCATCCTGTATGAACCCTTGATTTTGTAACGGCGTACATATATTAGGAAGGTGAGGTACAAAAGTATTGCGCAACAAGCTTAAATAGTGCTCACTTTCACTCTCTCTTCAATAGAATTTGACTCTAGCAGGCCATGACTTGAGATGGCTACCGACAATGTAATTCTCGGTGCATGATGCACCTTCTCATGAATCACACATTTCGCTTATTATCCACGCCACCCTAGTTGAAGTGTGCCACATCAGAGCCCAGTTAGCAAATGCCATTCATTGATGTTTGTTTCAGATCACATTTCTGTATTTGTTGCACCGATCGTCTGGATATCCCTAGTTGTGCTGCAGTCTTCTTTGTCGATTTGCTGGGGCTTCTTTGCAGCGCCACTATGACAGCGTCATTGTTCTCTGGGGAACGCACAGATGAAGGTAGGTGACGTTTCTTCTCCAACACTGAACCATCATTATTAAACTGGTTATAAAGTTTATGGATTATTTTGAATGAAGGCGCCCATTGCGTTTGAAAATGGGCATTAAACCTCCGCTGTGTGACCAGAACACTTTTTGTTTCAGTAAAGAACAACATTGTTTTTATGTGCTGTTCTACAGACAGTCTCCTTTGTCAGTCATTTTGTGTAAATTGGAGCATAAGCAGGAACAGCGCGATAGTAGCGCGCTCGGGAAGAGTTAGAATTAACCTCCATGATCTACTGTAAGTGCTACCATATTACAAGACGTCGTTCATTGCATGGTTAAATCATTAATACTAAATCAAACACAGGATCATTTCGTGCACCATCCTGTATGTTGTCGCATTGAAATCGCAAAGTTACACGGCCCGGTTCTTCACGGATACTAAACCGAATACCAAGGTGTAAGCGCGCATGCAGAATTTGCTTTCTCCGCTCTAACCACTCCGTTACAACAGCGATGTGAAACACGTTTCTTTTCCGCGCCTCACGAGAAAGAAATTTCGGATATTTTTCCCACCGGCTAAAACCAGGAAATTAAAGGGCTACTACCAAATGGCAGTGCATGTATCAGAACTGGCTCATGTAATAAAGAATAAAGTTTTATTTCTAAATCTGAGATTCAGCAGTGGGAAATTTGATCATATGGAGGAGAGTTGGAAATTTTCTTCATCGCCCAACTGCAATCCTGCTAGTGAGTATAAATATTCCCGAGGGAAAGGACAGTCGAAGCACGAATCTATTCACCAGCAACTAATGGTAATATTTAAAATGGAAGAAGCCTTACCTTGATATCTCCTACATGCGTTAATGACACAGTGGTCTGGCCCAGGTAGTCACTTTGCATTTTGTGATACTATTATATAAGTTGTTTCTGTGCTTAACTAATTAATCATTACGCCGTGAAGGTGTATGGAGAAGTGGATGTAGATCCAAATTTTCTGGAGGTGAGTCGTCAGCTTCACGCCCCGGCCGCTTTACGCCCAGGAGAAAGAGCCCCCAGTACCCATTTTATACGAGGTTGTGTGGACTCCAAAGGTGGTCTGGACGACGTGGAGAAGAGAAAATTCTTGACTCTGCTGGGGCTAAAACTCCAAACCCTCGGTCGTCCAACCCGCAGCTATACCGACTACTCTATCCCAGCTCCTCGTGATACAATTAATGATGAAAAATTATGACGCACGTTGTATTTGAATGTCCCTCTTTGAATGACTTAACTTTTGCAGAACCTTCCCTTATTAGTATTCAGCTACAGAATTCAGTCTATGTTGACGTCACAGAATTGGATTCGGAACTTACTGGAATCGAAAATTCCGTGCCGTATAACTTGTAGGCGTCCTGTATTCTGAGACAGGAGATCAGCTCGGAGCTCGGCTGAACCGGACAGTTAAACACACTTGCCACTAGTGCTGCCAGTAACTTCGGTCTTCTTGGAGGTGTAAGTACCCAGGGGCTTGAAGCAACACCGCTCTGGGAGATAGGGCGTTTGAATAAACCTGTAAATCAAATGTTTGCATTTCGATTGACTTAGTTTAATGTCAAAATTTCCCGCCAACTCGAAACATTTCCGAGTGCTGGTTTCGCTTTAGATTGCGAGGGAAGTGATGAGCTTTCTAACGCATTTTGATAGCTGGATTCTATTCATAATTAGAGTAAATTATTCCCCGAATAAGTAGGTGTAATCCTTGAAGACGCACGGCGTAGTTCCAACTATTCTTAACCTTCGCAGGAGATAGAAGACATTCGTTAGCTTCAGCCATTAACGCTGAATCTTGGAGGAAAGAGGACCCGGTGTTCTTGGGATGTGAGGTTGGGTGAACCCCACGCCCTGTTGGGACGCCTTGGTCAAGAAAAATACATCAGCCTGCAAGAAAAGGAATCCCAGTGGCCTAGCGGGTAGCGAATTACACACTGACAGAGCAAACCCGGCCCCCTCTCTCTTTCTGCATAAAGAAGAATGTTTGTCTGTTTTTATTCATTTTTACAACGTTGCATTCATGCCTACTAAAATCTGGCGTGATAATGGACAATCTCATTGTGGTGGGTTTAAACTCGTGGATACATGCAAGTGGTCTACTCCAAGCCACCGCATACCCGCATTACTCTGTCTGTATAAAATGCGTTGGGATTGTGAGAACAATGGGTTCGTTGTAATTAGGATAAGGAGCAATGCCCAAAATACCATCCACATCGGTGGAAACTCCCCCCCCCCAAAAAAAAATATTTTGTCATTGCTGGATTTACAGGTAATTTTTGTTTCGTCTACGTATGCAATAAGACCAGACAATGCAACGCAGGGTTGCTGGTTACTTTAAATTTATAGACACAGACGGATTTTAACGATTGTTGTTTCCAAGTTCGATGTAAGATTTTCGGCACATCTCACCTTTGCTTGCAGGGGACAACATGTGTAAGTGAGTTCTGCCACCTCCAGCACTTTCACCGAATGTCGTCACGCTGTTCGGGTTTCCACCGAACGATGCGATGTTGTCACGTACCCAGCGCAGTGCTGCCACCTGGTCTTTCATTCCGTTATTACCCGGACACTCTGCATCTTCCGTACTCAGGAAACCTGTAGACACGGGTTCAAGCCTTTAAATGTGAGGGTACAGGCAGCATACGGGCTAACAATTCTGTCTGCCTTCTTTATTAAAAAAAATGCTTCAGGTAGTTTCTAGCACGACCTTCCTGAATGGAAATATGTATTTAAACATTGTGTTCTGAAAAAATGCAGACAGTCAAACAGTGATTGCTAACCTGTCAGGTATGCCTCCCACTCTGCGTGTTCTCATTACAATTTCGGGCACCCAGAATTTCTACGTAGCCGAGCACAGTGGCCGTGCGGGCTAAGACATTAACAGTCTTACAAGGAAATGGTCCGATCCGACATGTCGAAACCTGCCCTGATTTTTTTTTCACTGCAAGAGTACACACAACAAAATCCACTGTCAAAATTTTGGCTGCCGAAATTACTCATTTCTTGTGTACGCGGAACCGCTTGTACCAGAGGTTTGTAAAACCCCAACTGTGTGCATGCCAGATTACGATGTATTTGTGCCGTGTTATCTGTTTACCGATGCACCGGAAGCCTAGGCTGTGAGTCAGCCGTCTTGCGTGTTGCATACTGCTCTGCTCTGCTAGGGGTGGACATTTCTCCAAGGGTCTGGCAGGCTATAATACAGGCCATGTTCAGCAATTTTTAAAAAATATTTGCAGTGAGTATTAGCATCTAAAATTTTGACAGTGGATTTTGTTGTGTGTACTCTTGCAGTGAAAAAAAAAAAAATCAGGGCATGTTTCGACATGTCGGATCGGACCATTCCCTTGTTAGCCCGCTGAAACTTTGGGGTCCAATCCCGCTCGAGCTTTGGATGTCTGTGTGCATTTATCCTGTGTTTGTGTTTCTCTGTGTATAGGTACAGGCCTTGTGACTGGCTGATCCTCCATACAAGGAGTCATACCGACTTGAGTATAGGATTAAGAAACTGAAAAGCGGTCAAAGCGCAACAAAGGGCTGTAGAGCCATAGACTTCTTATGTACCTTTTGTCGCAGAATGCAGTTACATTGCGCATACTGAGGATTGAGTGAATCACTTCGAGAAAAGAAATCCTCATCCTTCCTCTTATGTAATACTTGAAGGTTATGTGGGATTTCAGACTCTCATGGCGGTAGTTAATGGAATCTAGATCATCTGGCATATGTAGCCATTTAGTCTGGTAAAACAATATGCATCCACCGAACTGTGCAGCTGCACAACACAGAAGGCCGCAGTTTTGATATTATGACAGGCTGACACAATTGACAGGCCAAACTGACTGACTCGGGTGGCAAATAAAGAGGCTTTTACTCGCAAGGTACCAGATTCGGAAACCAATCAGAGTAGCAAGGTGAATGTAGTGTTGGTATCTGCACAGGCGCATAGCATGTTCACACGTAGTCTCTTTGTTTTGAACTTGTTCCTTTAATAGTCTCGAAAAGCGAAAGAATTCCGGGAGACGTCCCGTAATTTAGATAAAATAAATAAGTAAGATTACGCTGGATATTTCGCTTGTAATCAACAGACATTCAACTTTTATTCAGGTATTCACTATTACTTGATACGTAGAAGTCCCAGCTGTCGGCTTATGCCGAATGGATAGAGTCAATATCGAGGTTTCGCTGTTAGCTGTTATTACACACACTAAAGGGAAATTTAAACTTATCCTAAAATTGCTACGCCATTTAAGACATTTGTTGAATTCTTAACATATTGTAACGTATTTCGTAGGTAACGAGAAGAGAAAATTTACGCGGGTCTCGGATTTGGGCAATATGTTTATTGGCCAATCTCTTTTTAGCCTCCAAGTACAATTATCATCCACATATAGCGTCGTCAGACGTTTCTTACAGCACTGTTTAATTACTTCTTGGTGAAGTCTTTTGTTTCTTTGTCTCATGCGAGCTGGCTTCTGCTCTAGTCGGAGCTACACTAAGAACTCTAAACTTAAAACCTGACTGGTCCAAGTCCAAGTCAAAGTCACATTGCGACTGACGGTCAGTCAGTCTGTCTGTCTTGGTGTAGAGCCCCACCCATTTTTTTTGTTTTTTTTTTCTTATATGAAAGTTACTATCCTCTCAATTTGGGGTGCCCTCTCTGACGAGAGGTCGGGTCCGTCATTTGTCAGTCATAGTCCGTATTAGTAAGTCCATTGTCAGTATTTACATATATTTACAAATTTAATCTTAATTCCTATTTCTTTGTACAATATATACAAGGCCTCTGTCAATCCAGGCTCAGTACAGCATGTTATGCCCTATTTCTAGTAGTATTCGCTACCACGGCAGTCTAGTCACTTGAACGTTCGTATGCCTGACCGCCGCCAAGTTTAAGCCTCTTATATATTCTCTCTGTCGGGCTTCGCCTTGTTCGATGTTGCGAACATTCTCATTTTCATGATTTTGTATGACTTCTGCTTGTTGCCTGCATAGTTATATAATCATATACGTACGGGATTTTGAATGCCACGTGAAAATCGCGGACCGGTGTGCGTCTTGGAAAATTGCCAATGGTGCGGAGAACCTTGTTTTGCAGGCGCTGCAATTTCATAAGATGGGTGTCTGCAGCAAACTCCCAGGCGAGAGTAGCATAAGTCATTACGGACCTAATAAGAGCTTTGTGCAGGGTCAGTTTAATGTTAGCGCTCAATCGCTCCCTTCTGAATAGGGAATATACCCTAATGAATGTTCTGAAGGTCTTGGCTTCGATTATTTCTATGTGCAATCTCCATGTAACTCTCTTATTGAAGATTACATCTAGATATTTTTCACTATTTACAAATGGAATATTTCGTCCATTTAGAGTGAGACAAGACTCAGGCGTTCGATGACTGAGAGAAGTAGACCCCCTGAGTCTTATCTTCACTAATTTTAATATTCCAGCGCTCACACCAGGTCTCCATTGAGCTGAGACCGCGCTGGAGTTTTCTAACAATAAAACCCTCCTTTTGGTCTGTCACATACAGACAGGTGTCGTCCACAAAGAGGGCCAGTAAACCCCATGTGTTAGGGGGGCATCATTTATGTACAACTTGAAACAGTTGGTGGAAAGAACTGAACCTTGTGGCACCCCTGCTTGCATTTCCCTTGTGGTTGACGTTTCGCCTTCAACCGAAACCTTAAATTTACGTTGAGGAAAAAGGACCCAATAAGCTTGATCGATTAGATAACTTATACATTAATCCTGAGTGCCACGTGGTATCAAAGGCTTTTTCGATGTCCAAGAACACCGCAGCCGTAGACAAGTTTTGTTGAAATTAAGGGTCACGTGGTCAGCCAGTCTCATTCATTGCAATTTCGTGCTGTGACGTACACGAAACCAAACTGGTTTGCGTTGAGCAGGCCTCTTTCTTCAATATGTTTAGGTAGTAATTTCAAAATTACTTTTTCGAATAGTTTTCCTGTCGTGGACAGGAGGCTGATCGGACGTAAATTTTGAGGCAATTTCGGGTCTTTACCGGGTTTATTTAAAGCTATTAATTTTGCTTCCTTCCAAGTACTTGGAAAATGAAAGAGCAGAAGACAGTGATTAAATAAAAGAGTTAGGTGAACCAATGGTCGGCTTGGAAGTTGCCTGAGGCATTCATTCGGGATGCCACCAATTCCACAGGCCTTTCTCAATTTCAAGGATTTATCAGTTTTTGTACGTCACATGGTCTGATTCTTTGAGGGGGTTTGTCGTCTACGGTTTCGAGCAGTGCTTGAACTCTAGCCTCCCCCCGCCGTTCATGGTTATCGTCGCACAGATCGTGCGAGGCGTGAACTGAATTTCCAATCAGCAATTGCGTTTGCTTTTCCAGAAGAATGAAATTTAAGGCCTTCAGCACCATGAATAACAGTTGGTTCATTCCTCTTTAGGAGGGACCTAACTGGTCTCACCGAAATTGGGCTTTTATAACTTGCACGCGGACTTCATAGGGAATACCATGTCGAAGGATTCATTTCGCTCGCTGCTATCGAAACGCTGCTTCAGCAATTCGTGTGTAACGGTTGAACCTCCACTGTTAGGAATTACTAGAGTTCTGATTCTTAGCCGCTGTCGTGGGAATGTAGGTCGTTGCCTAGGAAATCAACTCTGAGCTCCTTAACCATTCCGGATTTCTGGCGGCACGCCACAATATTCTAGAGCACTATATCAACTTGTTCGGTGAGTCCTTCTTAAGAAGTTAATAGTTACTCAGCTACTCAAAGTATTCCAGCATATTCATAAGAGCCCGACAATGTCCTCTGTCCTGAGCCCTATGGCTCCAGCCCAAACTATTAAACACTATTTCTTGAAGATTTATCTTCACAATATCTCCCTCAATATCCTAGGCATTCCATCATATTTCCCTACCACAAATTTGTAACCATTGCTCTCTTCTCGTATGCGTGCTACATGTCACACCCATCCCATTTCTCCTGTTTTGTCATTGGATAAATACAAAACTATAAAATAATAAGTATTCGGAAAAAATTAACGTGATTTGCGCCCTTGTGCATTATGAGTAACATTTATGAAGTTAAATGCAGCTTAAGAGCAGTTTCAGGAAGAAATATGTGTACTGTGTGCCTGCGTGCTACGTAAGTCAGCATAAGAGGACAGGATGGGGGGATCTCTTAATGTAGCATACAAAATCACTAACGGCCTACTAAGACTTATCAAAGATCACTATGGCAGTAAACCAGATTTGCCTGGTGTACAGGATACAAGGAAATGTCCAATTATGGCCATATATAAGAGGATTTATTATTGTCACGTACACTGAGTGACTATAGACGGGTTTTGGATCGATGACCGGATTTACTGCAATCTTTGATACAGCGCGTGATTATCTTACACATATATACTAGTGTCCAAAGTCATATCTTCATTAGCCTGTGCTTGGTAGCGGTTTCCAACAGCTGGATTCCCGAATAGTTCCCGGCCTCAGCTTCCAAATTCTAACAGCAACATCTCACAACGACTGAACCGCAGCATTCCTCTAACTCATTCACTTACTCACCTACCATATCTTCACTCAACGACTGACTCACTCATCTATGTTGTCTTGGTT